ACCTATCACCAGGTGCCACTCTTTCTTCTCTGTAGGTTTCTTGTCAACAGCAAGCATACGTGCTGTGGCAACTAAAATTTCATCTAAATGACACCGTTGACTCCATCAGCGAGTATTGTTAAGGACAAATCTTACAGCTGGAATGCGTCCCAAGTTGAGAGGCAAATTAGGTTATGTTACATATATTAGGAATCAGTTTTTGCAAACTTTTGACTTTAGCTAAAAACCACCGAATCAATTCAATTGTTACGAACGTGGCTCACTAAAAAGAAATTTAAAAAGGTTTAAGAAGTGCTGAGTGTTTCATTATGCCTACCAAAAAGCAGAGAGAACACACGATTTTTTTTGTCTCAAAGATTATTTTCGCAAGGCAACGTTCTTCAAAGCACGGAGAGAACATAACCTGTAGCTTGTTAGGGCTTCTGAGCTTCGGGTCCCAGCTGTTATAGGAAGATGTTCTAGTATCAAAGAAAAATCCTACGCAGCTAAATGAAAAGGCAAAATGGTCTCAAAACGCTTGGAGACAAGCATTTTTTTAGTTTAATTTACACTTCAGATGGCCATTTGATTATTTGATCCAGCAGTTAGTAATATTGGATGAATAATATACGTTGGAGCAAAACAAAGACAAAAACAAAAAATCTCCACTGTGTGTACTCCAGAAAGGCCGCATTTTTAGTATTAAAATAGAGTACAAGAGAGGCACCTGGGTGGCTCAGTGGTTGAGTGTCTGCCTTTGGCTCAGGTTGTGATCCGGGGTCCTGGGATCGAGTCCTGCATCGGGCTCCCTGTGAGGAGCCCGCTTCTCCCTCTCCCTGTATCTCTGCCCCTCTCTCTGTATCTCGAATGAATGAATGAATGAATGAATGAATGAATGAATAAATATTTAAAAAAATAAATAAAAGAGAGCCCAAGAAATGTGTTTCAAAATAAGAGCTTTTATTAGCTAGATAGACCTAGTTTTGCAGCTAGTGACTCTGCCACTAACAAGCTATGTGACTCAAGATGTGCTCCCCTGGCTACTTAGTGAACAAAGTAAAGAGAAGAATTGTAGATGGAACTTTCTCTAAAGTAAATCAATGCATGCAACAGCAAATTCTTTTTGATAGGTAAATATATATAAATTTGCAGTTATGTTTAGTTAACCTGCAGATTTGATCTGTTTAAAAACCTTAACATGTGAGGATACCAGCTTGAAAATATTCTTTCTAGTTAGGATGTGTCTTGAGGAATAGCTGAGCTCATATTTCTCTATACATCTACATTTGGTATTGTAATTCTTTAGATTTCTATTCAACATATGAAGAATAAGGGGGGAAAAAAGAAAAGAAACAACCTAAAGATGGAAAAATAGGTCCAGTCATAAGCACTGGACATGATCAAATACTCTCATACCATGTTTATAGATTTACTCACAAACATCTGATGGACCTTAAATGTGTCATTTCTTAGCTTACAATAACAAACTACTACCAATAAAATCTAGTCCTTAACCAAGGTAATCATTATAATTGTGAAGTTAGCTGTGGGATGTATAAACTCTTCTAAATCTTGATGAATTTTCAATGCACAATGTAGGTGGTACAATCTCTCTCAGAAAACTCCCCAGAGGTACGGTTGTTTGATGAGCATATATGAGTCAATTCTTGATGTGCTTACGAAAGCATCAGAGTATACATAAGGCTGAAAAAATTAGCAATAAGAAAAAAAATCATTTCTATAAATGTAGGGAAAAACAACTTATCATCAGTGACTGCTTCACATGTTAATGCAAATAGATAAATAATTTATTAGGAATGTCACAAGAGCATTATAAGTTTAATGAGATTTTTTAAATGAGAAAGATTTGTAACCATGGTTTAATCATGGAAGATCAAAAATGATTAGTTGTAATATCTTAATCAAAACTTCAAAGTAGGATTTTAAAAACACTTGTAAAATATGCCCACACCCCCTCACAGAGACCAAGTAATGTAGTTCTTCATAAATGTTATAGATGTGGGGAAGAAATAGAGATAATGATCTAAATTAGTTTATGGTTAGCTTCTGGTATGACTTTAGAAAAACAAAAGCTAAGCTAACAATCAGACACTTTCATATTCTAAATTTTTTATTACAGGTGTCAAATTGATTAATACTTACTAGTCACTAATGCTATAGGCAATTATAATTTGTATGAATTGTTTGCATGTTGTACAATAATGGTTTTACAAATTATCATTTCCTCGTAAGAAAGTGACAACTTTGTATGTATTATTCAATATTTGCTCAATGTTTTATTGTTTGCTTCTTTATCTGTTAAGGGGAATCATATGAAAAGACTATTAACATTTCATACATATTCTCATCTGTTATAATTCAAAACAGATCACCTTCACAGATAGGAATGCAATCTTCATCAATTTGTCAAATTGCAATAATGAATTGCTTGGCTCAATTTATGTTTAATACCCTTAGCTTGCATATCTTAAAAGTAGCAAAATGTACTGCTGTAGTGTCATTTTTGTATGGATACTAGGAAGGCATGGCCATATATATTAATTAGATTATTGTTAATTACTTATTAGACTTTATCTGATATGTTATTTGACATATTTAGATCTATCAATTAATTTATTACAATTTCTTATTTTACTTTACTGTCTTCCGTTACTTTCCTTTACCTGATCTGTATAGCCTTACCTAATTGGCTCCCTTCTTGCCAAATCTTTCATTTTGTTTTTTTTTGTTTTGTTTTGTTTTATTTTAATAAATTAATTTTTTGGAGGGCGGGGGTGGGGGTGAATGGGTGACGGGTACTGAAATTAATTAATTAATTAATTTTTAATTAATTGGTGTTCAATTTACCAACATACAGAATAACACCCAGTGCTCATCCCGTCAAGTGCCCCCCTCAGTGCCTGTCACCCATTCACCCCCACCCCCGCCCTCCTCCCCTTCCACCACCAGAGTTAGGAGTCTTTATGTTCTGTCTCCCTTTCTGATATTTCCCACCATTTCTTCCTTTTGAGACATCCCTATCATCCTTTTGAATGATTTTATCAAATATTTCCTTTTTATATCACTCATAATTCTCTCTTTCCAAGATATATGAATCCTTATTCTGTTCTAAACTAAGCTATACCTGTATTTATGACCTTGTGTACTTCCTACATTCTGTAGCTTTTACCTAATAATTATCTCTTTTCGGGTTTCTAAATTCAAATGTGTATGTAGGGTAGTGAGATAGTAAGGAAGATATTCGATACGTATCAAGAAAGAAGGGAGATGGGACGGCTGGGTGGATCGGTGGTTGAGCATCTGCTTTTGGCCCAGGGAGTGATCCTGGGGTCCGGGGATGGAGTCCCACATCGGGCTCCCTGCATGGAGCCTGCTTCTGCCTCTGCCTGTGTCTCTGCCTCTCTTTCTGTGATTCTCATGAATAAATAGAATCTTAAAAAAAAAAAGAAAAAAAAAAGAAAGAAAGAAAAAGAAAGAAGGGAACCCCAGCTGTAAACATGTTAAGCTGGAGAGATCGTGGCTACAGTTGGCCTCGGCCAACTAGTTCTCAGGGGACATACGTGTCTAGAGTTATCAAAATTTTCATTTCCTCAAGAGTATATGAAAACCTGTACTTTTATGTAGAATCTCCTAAGTTTAATATTGGTTTTAAGGGTTCTCATTTATCCAGTTGAAATAAATCTTACTTGCTGACCATATTCTACCCGGAAGATCCCAATTTAGAAACTCTGTCATCAGACTCATCTCCTCAATCTTATACTCTGTCTACAAAGACACAAAATTTCCATAACTAAAAGCAGCCAAGCATATACCATTTGATATTGCCATGGTTTGATTCCTGTTTCCCATTCCAGCCAATTCCAAAGCTTCAAACAAATGATTCCTGCATTTCCCTGGCACCCATCTTTTAAAAAATCTTCCAATCTTTCAAGTGTATTTCAACATGTGGGGAGTGTCTTTGCCACAATGCATTTTATGAACTGCTCCACATCCTCTAAAGATGAGTGTCAGTAGATTTCTTCCTTTAAGTTCCTCATGATCTACATTACATGTAGGTATGACCCAAGAAGTCAGTAAGGTAGAGACCCAGACAAACAGATCAATGGCTTACCCTCAGAACCACTTACAAAACTTGCGCCGTAATGTCTGATCATTGAATAATTATCACTTTCCCAACATGAAATTGCAATGATTTTATTATGTAAAGGATAGTTCTCAGAAACTTTTAAAAAGCGTATGATTTCCTAAAATGCTGATTTAAAGTATACCAATAGAGCAATGTAGCTGTGGGGAAACATGATGTGTTTGTTTCCTCCATGCTCAGGGAAGTCTGGTCCTAACCTTCTTACTAGTTGTAGGATTATACTAGAAGAAAATAAGATATAATAGATATATGTAGGCACTGAGCTTGATTTCAAGAGCTTGTTCCAGGTAAAAATCCCAAATCTTACAGAGAACAAGCCAGTACTCTAGAAAACTTATTTTCTGACTTTTGCCAAGTTAGGATATAGTTATCGAGACTTTTATTACAGGAACTTCTCATAGAAATATCCATTCATAGAGTAAATGAAATTTATTTAGAATAGTCAGCAAAATAGGAGTTGAATAGGCTCTACTTTTGTCCAGTGCACAAAGACACAAGATAGGTATAAAGACTTAATAAAGAAGTTAAAGATAATTCTCAAAATAGATGTCCATCCTGAGTAACAGAATAAAAAAAAATCTATCAAATGTTAGTACTCTGTTGTATATTTTATTCCATTAGAATAAAGACAGTATATTCAAAACCCACATGTTCATCCTTAAATTTCTGACTACATAATCATTTCAGTTTTATGGCTTCATATCCTTCATTGATCAACATCAAGTAGAGCTGGTTCACTCTTTTATTAAAGTATTCACATTTAAACTATAAATCAAGCATTCAATATAAGTTTGCCAAGCCCAACATATTCGAGAACATGATGTGAAATTTATTATGGCTTATTAAAGAAACTCACCTTATTTCCAGGACCAAAGAGGAATTGATTTTCCAACCTTCTACAGAGTGCTGGAAGATCGAAGAGCCAGCCTTTCGAATGATTTTATCAGAACTATTGACAAGGGATCGACTCAAACATAGTTCACCATCTCTGAAACAAAACAAAAATGCCAGCTCTGTGAAAGTAAGTAGCATTTTATCTAAGTAGCATAATACATAATTTGATTTAAATTACTGGTGACAAATTGTCGATACGACTTTTTCTACCCATTAGCAGAGGTATGAGATTGATGAAAGGTATTATAAGAAATGAGAGTACGACTTTATCAGGACAATCTTTACACTTATTCTTTTTGAAATAAAAGCATTTTTCATATAAAGAAAAGGCCTTTGTAGTGTTTAAAGCAAAAAAAAAAATGTCTTCAAACTCTATCCTCCCTCCCTGTTGTGTTTAGACAATAGAGACAGGAAGTTTGGCCACTTCTCTTGCATCTGTATAATTGTGACTCCCAAGATCATAATTTTATTTTCCCAGAAGGCACATAGACATGACGGAAAGAGATTTTGTTTTGGAGTAAGCAGACTTTGGAATATCTGGTGATCTGGGCATGTTGGTGGTTCTTTCACTTGCTAACCTATACGTCCTTGGACAATATTCTCTTTCTAGGCCACAGTGACCTTGCTTTATCTTGAAAATTGCAAAAACCCTATCTTTTTTTTTTCAAAAACCTTATCTAATACACAATGACGTTGGGAGAACTCAAAGGGAGTGTGTATGTGAAAGTAACCCATAAAGCACTGTTGAAGTGCAAATTTCTAAAATTACATTGAGTCTCAAATCACCTCAACAATGAGACACTTTCCTGAGACTTGGTGGTGGCAGGGAGACAGAGATTGCAACGGGGAGAAAGAAAACTCATTCAGTAGCCATTTTTACTCATATTTTCTATTACATCACACACACACAAAATCAACTGTGCTATCCCTCTCAATCAACATTGTCAGGCAAGTATATACATGGCATGGCAGTGCTGGTCACAGTGATGACAGTGACAGACACCTATGACAGCATTTGTTATCTGTAGGACAGTTAACAGCAGAAACAATTTATTGGTCAACAGACTATTTTCTTGGTACTTTATAGTTGTGGGCCCAGACTCAGAGAAATAGATGCGGTTTATGGGAGAGCCCTGTCAATATCTGCATTTACTTCTTTACATGTTACCTCTTACTGTTTTAAAATCTCAAAAATATAGTTAAAAAGTAATATGACTATTTGCTCAGTCACAAAGTCTAAATCTGTGTTTATTATGTAGGCAATCCTCTCCTACTATCAATGGAAACACTGCCTGTGTAACAGCTGTTAGATGAATTCTGTAATTAGAGGCTTATAGTTTGGTATTTTGGTTTGCATTCTTTTTTAAACATGTAGTTCCAATTTGAAGCAACTCAAAGCATCATATGCAACTACTCCCTGTGAAATTTAGAACTCTATAAAAATCAATATTTTCAACTATCCTACTGATGAAAATGATACATTTGCATGCCTACGCGTGGCCAATAATAATCATTTTATAGAGGTCATTTAAGATGCTAGGAAACAGAGGGTGCAATTTACTACTCAGTGGCCCAGAAGTCAACTTTTCTATTACACGTTTAACGATAATAAGTATATATGAATGAGGATCTGGATATACAGGGAAGCTAACCTTCACACTTCTGAAGATACGCCTTCAAGAATAAGGGTACAAACTCTCACCATTTCTAAGGATAGAGCTTTTTTTTCCCCTCTATTCATCTGGTTAACTGGCTTGTTAATACCAGTTTTTCCTAACCACAGATTGCCATAATTAAAACAATTATTTTTACCACCAATAAACTCTCATAGGAGAAGTAAAAATATGCATGGGCTGGCATTTTTAAATATCTGTGGAAGACTCTTTCACTGACAATGTTGCTAAAGGGACAGTTGGCATGGCAAGTCGATTGCTGTACTTAGTTCTACGGAGGCTTTTCAGGACCTCCAATACTTAAAAAAAAAGTGCTTTCAAAGTTTAAATTAGTTTTATATTAGTGAAATACTACCACATGACTCTGCTCTTTGAACTGTTTCCATTGAACTGGTGACAAACCAAAATTCAGTTTCATTCCTGGAAAGAACCTTGAATAAAAACAGCTACAGCTAGTCCTAGGTCCTCTTGAAGTAGGTGGGATTCCTGTGTAAGAAGGCTGGGCTTCGGGCAATCCAGTCTGGATTCTGGAGCAAGTTTCTTTGTATAAAATTAAATGGGTCCCAAGGGATGTTTCCGTTAGTGACCTCGGTGGGACTCTGTCTTAGAAAGGCTTTTCCTTCAATGCAAGGCATGAAGGATGTTACCACCCCCTCCTACTTTTTCCTTCCAGATCAAACACAACTACTAAACAGCTGCACTGCAAACATTTCTTGCAAAGGGCTACATACAGGAGGATCCAACATATCCTCCTAGAGAGAAAACTACAGAACACATCAGGGAAATAATGCAGCGTAAAGCAATATATTGTATAAAGTATTCCTGCTTATGTTGAGCTCAGAAAAAAATCTACTTCCAGGGACAGTATTGACAGAAACTAATCATTAGTTACTAGTTCTTACAAACATTTTTCTCTTTGAAATATGAGTTGCCAGGCATCGCTACAACTTATTCTATTAATTTTTGCAGCACATAACAAATATAATTAGTTTTGTTTCTTGAGATTCGGTCTCCAAAGCCCTGCCTTCAATCCGACTGAAAACTCTTTACAACTTGGCTTTGGAATGAATGTGTTCTCCATGGACTAGGGTACATTTCCTCCTTAACATGGAATTATAAAACTCCCTCAAAAAAAAAAAAAAAAAAAAAAAAAAGAACTTGCATGGAACCAAGCCTGAACGCAAACAGCAGGCAGTTGTGTGTTTTCCTTCCCTAAGTGTCAAACAACTAAAAATAAAGATGAGATGTACTACTTTAGCCTATGGCTTAGGGGTTCTGGTAGAACCCCAAATGAAGCATACAAAGCACAGATCCTGGGTTTCCTGATTTATAAGAGTGTGTGCTAGCCTGGAACCAGCTGGAAATCACTTTGCTGACAATGGTAATACTCTAACTCTGAATGTCTATCTCCACTGTCAGTGTTATCAATAGTTTCAGAATTCATAATGGACAATTATTGAGACAGACAACCTAAAGTACACAGTCAAATTAAAAAGGAAATCTCTAGATGATAAGAAAATTGGGCTCACTTGCGGTCACACTGGAGCGCAGTGTGTGGCAAGTTTTAAGAAGTCGCAATCAAAACAAATACGTGTGATATTAAAGCTGATGCCACACTTTCAAATGCATTATCTTCTGAAATGAGCGCATGCACTTATTTTTATGCGGTTAACACAATTATACCCAGAGAGCACACCAAGTCAGTGAAATCATGGGCCATTTTTCCCATTACGAAAAAAATATATGTATCAGTCAAGAATAAACCAACTTTGTAGCCTTTCGAGGGAAACTTTTGAGGGAAACTATCTACTGGGAATCACACCAGGCAATGAAGAGGTTTGCATGGAAGGTTGCACTTGCAATGACCCTGACCTAGTCTCAAATAACTCCTGGTAAAAACCGTGCTTTTTGTATGGTTTCCTCTGGGGACAGGAGGGGGGACGGGAGGCAGGGAGGGGTGCTGGTGTCCTGGGTGCGCAGCGAGCGCTGGGCGCTGCAGGCGCGACGCCGCACTGACCCTAGGTGGCACCTCCAGTCCGGGGGCGGGGGCGAAGGGGCGCAAAGAAGCGGGGAAGCCAGGCGCGAAGGTTCAGGGACGAGGGTCTTCTGGAAGGTACGAGGCCTGTGGCAGGCCCCGCACTGACCCTCCTAACCCCCTCTCGGGTCGGGACCGGCCTGTCGCCTCGCTGCTCCCCGGGGCCACTGCCGCGCCCTGGCTTCGCCCATCTCGGATCCGGCCCTGGGGCCCGCGGCCGACATCAGGCCCGGACCCCAGACCCCAAGGGGGCGTCTGACCGTGGCGGTTGCAAGGGAGTCATCCCCTCGGACCAGGGGCTTGGGGCCTGCACGCGCGGCGTCCCGGGCTCCGAACCCGCGGAGCTGCAGGAGTGATGGGGGAGGGGGCAAGAGAGGAGGGAGGAGGGGGCCTGGTCCCTGAAGTAAAGGCTCCCGCCGGGTCCGCGCGCGTTCTGCAGCCGCGCGTCCCTCGCGCCCCATGTCAGCAACTCCCGCGCCCGCCTCGGCTTTCTCGGGGCAGCGGGAGGCGGCCGCAGCTCGGCCCCAGTAGGGGGCGACCGAAACCCGCGGGGCAGCTCAACCGCCGCGCCCCGCCCCCGCGCCCCACCTGCGCCCCCGTCCGCGCTCCCACCCCGCGCCCCCGTAGACGCTCCCCCGCGCCCCTGTCCGAGCTCCGACCCCGCGCCCCACCTGCGCCCCCGCGGCCCCCCTGCGTCCCCGCCTCGACCCCGCGCCCCACCTACGCCCCTGTCCGCGCTCCCACCCCGCGCCCCCGTACACGCCCCCCCCCCGCGCCCCTGTCCGAGCTCCCACCCTGCGCCCCGGGTCCACGCCCCCGTCCACGCCCCCGCCCCCCCCCGCCCGGGGCGTCCAGCGCAGGGCCACAGCAGGAACATCGCCCGGGAACCGTGGGGCGTCCCAGGTCGGTCGTTCCCTTGGGGGGGGCCCACGGGGCGCGCGGAGGCCCCGACGGGGCGCCCCCCTCCCCCCGCGCTGCCCACTCCCGCTCCTCGCCCCCCGCGCCCCCTCCCAGCGCCCCCAGAGTTGGGCGACGCGGGGCGGCTTTGTCTGGACTCGCGCTGGCGTTCGGACCCCCCCCCGCCCGCAGGGGAACAAAGAGCCCGGACCCCCACGCGCGGCCTCCGCGTCTCCCCCCGCGTCGCTGTGTCACCGTCCCCGAGACCCCTTTGTCCGCCCGCCCCCGCCCGCGCCCGCAGCCCTGCCTTCCCGCCCCTCGAGCTCGGCTGCGTTTTGCACCCACCCACACTCCGTGTAAACGACCTCCTCTAGTTCGGCTCCTTTTTTTTTTTTTTCCTTTTCCAGAATAGACCAATTTTGTGCATTCGTCGCTGCCGGGCGGGCCGTCCGAGCCGGGCGCTATTCCTCGGCGTCCCCGCTCCCGCCCCGGGCCCGCGGGGGCGCCTCGCGCCAGCCCTTTTGGGGGAACGCAGCCAGTTGTGTTAAGTGCGAGCCTCCGCGTTGCTCACTTAAAAACACTCGTTACTTGGGGAGGAGCAACAATAGTACACGGAGTGCGCGAAGTTTGTGTGTCCGTGTGCACGCGTGCACGGTCCTTGCACGCGCGCGCGCACGCGCACACACGGCGGCCAGGGCTCTAGCTCCGTGCCCCGGGGTGTCGGGGCGCCTGAGGGTTCGGGCCAGGCTGCGGTCCCCGGGAGCGGACGCCTCCGGGGTCAGGGACGGTTCCCGACCCAGGACTTTGCGGACGGAGTTGACAACCGGGTTCACGTCCTCACAAAAGGCTTCCAAGCTGTGCACGCGACACCAGAGTTGCAGCCACCTCCCCGGTAAACTTCAAAAGCGGCAGGGGCCCGGGGAAGGGAGGGAGGGAGGAAGGAAGTGCGACATTTAGAGAACTTGCTGGGAGTGGGGGGAGGTGGGAGGTGGGGGGTGGGGGGGGGAAGCGTCTGAACTCATTTAAGACAAACTGAAGAAACAGCAGAAAGACCGTCGGTGTGAAGCTACAGCACCGTTTCTAAAAGCGTAACCATGACGCCCCTGCGTTTTACCCACGGAAGAGCAAATGGGGAAGCATCGCAGGGGGGCCCCGGAGTTTCCAAGTCACACGACACGCGGATCTACCCGAAGCCCAAAGAAGAGAAAAAGCAACAGAGAGCCCCATTTTCCTGCGTCCCGGGCTTTAACTTCAGCCTCCCTTCCGGGGAGCCAGCCCCCTCTACCCTGTCCTGGGGGTGATGGGGTGGGGCGGGGCACACAGAGACAGCGCCCCGGAGTCCTGCCCAGGGCTTCAAAGGACAAGGGCGCACGTTCTTGGTTGACACTTGTGCGGCGGCTTGTCCCCGGGCGTGTGGAGCCGGGCGCCAGCGCCGCTGTCACCACCGCCACGCAGGGCAAGTTGAACTACTGGGGCCGCGCGTGGGGAAGCACGCACACCTCGGCCACAGCCTTTGTGATTGGATCCCTGACGCTAAACGCACCAGAGCTCGGCCGACCGCGCCGACTCTCCCAGCCCTCGCTCCACCGTCTACGCGCCCATTGCATTTACAGGCTGCACTTTTTGTTCTGGCTCCGGTTTTGCCATATCCTGAAATGAAGCTTTTTGCATTTACCCGATGAGTTGCGTCTCCTGGTGCTCCTCAGTTCTCGCTATTTCTTTTGTCTTATAAAAGATCAGGAGCAGACTTATGGTGCAGATGGTCCACCTCTTCCTAATGGAGCGCATCTTGGGTGCCCGGGAAAGTCCTGGTGGCCCCAGCTCCCTCACCTTCTCTCGATAGAAAGGCTCCGTTGGGGGGAGACACGGTCGCGGTGGTGGTGGTGGTGGTGGTGGTGGGGTGGGGGGAGGTCCGTGCAATCGGAGGAGAGCGTGGAGCCGGGGTGTCAGGAGCGGGTCGCAGGGGTCCTCCGCCGCCGAGCCCCGGCCGGTCCCCGAGCGCACCGCAGCGCTCGCCCGCCCGGGTGGCGCCAGCCCTGCCCGGCTCGCTCCGCGCCGCCTCCCCGGGGCTCCGGGCTCTTCTCCGAGGAGACACCTTGTGCATCGGAGGTGGCGGCCGCTTCTGCAGCTGGCTTCGGGGGCGTCACTGGCCCTTCCCTCTTCCTAGCAGGGAAATGATGAGCAAAACCAGCCAATCGTCAGCTGGAGGGGGCGGAGGCTGCGGTCGCCTCGCGTTGCTGTCGGCTGCTCGGAGACGCCTGCACAGCGCCTGGAGAGGAAGCTCGCGAGCTCGCAGGCGTGTGCACACACACACACACGCGCACACACACCACACACACACGCGCGCACACACACACACACACACACGCGCCCTCGCTCGCTCGCGCGCGCACGCACCAGCCCTCGCACCCCCGGGGGAGATCGCGGCGCGCCGGGAGGAAGTCGGGTCGCCCTCCGGGGAAGCCGAAGCGGCAGCTCTCTCTGCACGAGCGCGGAGACGGTCTGTCCTCAGCAGAGAGGAGAGGACGCCGCCTCTGGGGACAGATTGGAGACGCGGTCTTGCTCGAGAGATGCTTCGTTTTCGTGCAGAGCGAGGTGCTGGGAGGGAAGGGGAGGCGGGAGGGGGGCGCGCAGGTTGCAGGTTGCAGGAGGGGGTAGCTCCCTCCCGGAGCCTTTTGCTAAACAGACGCGCTCGGACACACTCGCGAACGCGCGCACACACGCCCTCCCAAGTGGAGGGAATCGGGGCAGGGAGGGGGGAGGAAGAGGAGGAGGAGGAGGAGGAGGTTTTGTATTCAGTGCTCAGCTCAATCTGGAAAGTACAAATGCACACGCATGAGCCAATTAGCCGAGCGCCCACTCAGGGTGGGTGGCGGCGGTTGACCGCCCCGATTTAGGATCTTGCAGGAAAACAAGGCATGACAGGGGTGTCAGGCGCTTCATGGGTATTTCTGTGACTCTTTTTCACTGCCATTTGGAAACTCCTCACGCAGGAGTCAAGGAAACTCCAGTCCTCCTTAAACTTCACTGCGGAGAAACGGAATTATGAGAAAAAGCAGCCACCAAGGACATCCTTTATAAACGCGAGTACACCCAGACACAGGAGAAAGGGGGGGGGGGTAGGAAGGTAAGATGAAAGCAGAGAAGGAAGGGCAAGCTCTTGCTCCGAAGTCCCAGGGACGCGTCTTAAGCTTCCGATTTTCGCCGTCTCTCACCTGCCACTGTTTCCCCTACTCCGCTTGTGTCGTGTGGCAGGGGCCGCTCCAGTCCTGGTGAACCTGCGCCGCCCTCGGCCTCGCCCTCACCTGGACAGAGCTTGCTGCTCCTGCTCCGCGGGGCACCCATGCCTGGGCTGGTGGGAAGGGGTGCCGAGGCCCCCCACTGCGAAATCTTGTCTGGGAACCAAGGATCTCCCCCATCTGTAAGCGAACTTTCCAGTTGCTCCACTTTTTCTCCTCCTCCCTCCCCTTCCCATAGTCCAACAGCCTCTCTCTCTCTCTCTCTCTCTCTCTCTCTCTCTCGTTACTTGTTCCTTCAGGTTGTGCAGTGGCTCCAGCTGCCATCCACTCTTGGCCCCTGGGGTTCATCCCTCCTCCAGCCCACCCCAGTCCTTGGGCAGAGCTGAGCAAGAAGGGGGGTTCTGAGCGACTAGCCCCCTGACTCCTTAAGATAACAACTGTAACAGCTGGCACCTCTGCCTAAAAAAACTCCCGAGGTTCCTGCCAATGTTTGCCACTCTTCGCCTAAGGTTTAAGAAGTTAAGAGCCTCTCGGTTGGTTCTCAAGCCTCGTCTTAGCGGCAGAGTGAACTAGGGGGTTGGGTCTACAATGCTCAAAGGAGCAAGTAATTATGAGCCTTTATTGACACTACAAGTGGCCCGCCGGGAGCCTTTGGAGTTTATTGATGTCTAGGCAAATCCCTCTAGCATCCCTGTCACACTGACTTCTCAACCAGCAGAAACTGCACGAATAAAACAGCTGCTTATTTAAGTTAAAAGGGAACTGGGGAGGTGGGAGGTGGGCAAGGCCTGTTAGGATTCTTCTTTAGGTTAATTGATTAAATTCTTTAGGTTAATATTTGATTTTTGAACAGTCAACACAATATTTTGGATTCTAAATAAAACATTGGCTGATGGGGATGGAGTAATGTGCATCATTTAATTAAATTCATCCAGCATGGTTTGAGCAATTAATATGGTCCAGGCAATATGTGAGGACATGGGAACACAGAGATGAATAAAATACAGCATCTAAAAAGAAAAGAAAAGGAAAGAAAATAGTGTCTAACCAGGGAGGAAATTCACTCACTGCAGGGGAGAGGGACAGCGGGGATGGGAGGTGGGGTAGAGGTAGGGGTGGTGGGGGTGGGGGTGGTGACAGATTGCATAAGAATTAAGTTACAGTGTGGCACCATGAGCTAACCCCAGCATTTTAAGGATGTCTCCTACCTGAGAATGCCACAGTGTAGAAGTGGATGGAGTGTTTAAGTTGTTGGGAGCAAGAAAAGTGATCTTCCTGGGGAAGGGCACACGTCAACCAGGATTTGCAAACCTAAGGGGCAAGCCAGGCAAAGCAAGAGTACAACACTACAATCAGAGGAAAGATTATGTGTACTTGAGGGAGGAATAAAATGCTGGTGCTTTGGGGGAACTTTGAAGTAGCTCTGTAGGGTGAGAACACAAAAGTGGAAAGGAGAACAGCGGGACATAAGTTTCTAGAGTGATCATAATACTCTCTAGCTTCACAGTGTCCAACTGTCTTCTCTAATGGGGAAGTTGCAGTATGAAAATCTTCAAGAGGAAAGTGGGTCTAATTCATGTATTAAGCTTCAAGTTATATTAGGGGAAATTGTTCATCTGGCCCAAACCAAAACAAACCTACCAACAGTAAGGCAGAAGCACACCAAGAACAAGTTATGGGGCTACACAAGACATGTAGATATCGAGAAGAGGAGAAAACTCTCCAGCTGTAAAATATTGCTATTTCTGTATTTCATCAAGCATAAGACCTTCTATATTGAGGTGAACACTTCTGAATGCCTGATAATGGTTTAGTGAGACTCAAGAGATTCCCCTTTCCCAAAGTTGAACAATTTTGAGTTTAGAGTGTAATTCAGTGTCATTTGTTTAATATGATCAGATTCATGAAATATGCATCCATAACACTTTGCCAGGTTAAAAAAAGAAAAAAAAACATATAGGCCAACACTTGGGCCAAATGGAGGATGGTCTGATATTTTTCAATATGCAATTGGGGACAAAGCCATAAACATAAATATTGAGGAAGAAGCCTTATCCACATATGAGTCTTTTGGACTCAACTCCTTCCATTAGAATACCCCTTTTGATGATCCTAAGAAATTAAAGTTGTCTCTAAATTTCCATTCTATCTTTGGACAGTAAGTTCTTCAATAAAGAGCACACATTTGCCTTTATTCAGCACAATTCTGCAATTACGCAGTACCCGATAAATAAATAATACAAGTAATGGCAGCTGGTTTTAAAATGCTACTTTATCCTTTCACTTCAGGTAAATCATGTTTTATTTGCTGGCTGTGCCCTCTACTTTAGCTGGAAAGAAATGGGTAGACACTTGCAGTATCACAGTATAATGGCCCTCGACATTTTTTTTAATCCTTTATTTTTTAGAGCAGTTGAGGTATACAACAATATTTAGCAGGAAGCATAGAGACTTCCTTTATACCCTCTCCTCCGAACACGCACAACCTTCCCAACTATCAGCATCCCATCTACAGCAGATTTGTTAAAATTGATGAAACTACATTGACTTATCATTGTCATCCACAGTTCATAGTTTGCATTAGAGTTCATTTTGGGCATCGTACATTCTATGGGCTTCGGCAGATGTATAATGACCTGTCCTCAGTGTTTTGACTATTCATGCCTGCCCCAGCCCCCAGCCCCAGATAGTCACTGATCTTTACTCTCTCCATAGCTTTGCCTTTTCCGGAAGCCTTATTGTTGGAATTACACAGAATGTAGCTCTTCCACATTGGCTTCTTTTACTTAGCAATATGCTTTAAAGATCCCTCCATAGTTTTTCATGGCTTGAAAGCTCTTTTTTTTTTTTTTCAACATGGAGTACAATTCCATTGTCTGGATATATCATAGTTTATTTATCTGAGTACCTGCTGAAGGACATCTTGGTTGCTTCCAAGTTTGGGCAATTATGAGTAAAGCTGCCAGAAACATCCATGTGCAGTTTCAGTAAATACCAAGGAGCACAGTTGCTCTGTAAGAGAGATGATAAGATAGTGGTTAGCTTTATAAGCAACTTGTTTTTACTGTTAAACTGTCTTCCAAGTGGCTGTGCTGTTTTCCATCCCATCAGCAAAGAATGAGAATTCGTATTGCTCTATATCTTGATCAGCATTTGATGTTTTCAGTATTTTGGATTTGGGGCTTCCTAATAGGTGTGTAGTGGTATCTCATTGTTGTTTGAATTTGCATTTTCCTGATGACATATGATGTGGAACAGCTACTCATATGCTTATTTGCCATCTGTCTTCTTTGGTGTGATGTCTGTTCGGATCTTCTTTTCTTAATTTTTTTTCTTTTTTTAAATTTAAGTTCAATTAGCCAACATATAGCATATTATTAGTTTCAAATGTAGTTTTCAGTAATCCATCGGTTGTGTATGGCATCCAATGCTCATCACATCACGTGTCCTCCTTAATGCCCGTCACCCAGTTACCCCATTCCCTTACCCACCTCCCCTTCAGCAACCCTCAGTTTGTTTCCCAGAGTGAAGAGTCTCTCACGGTTTGTCTCCCTCTCTGATTTTATCCTATTCAGTTTTCCTCCTTCCCTTAAGGTCCTCTGCACTATTTCTTAGATTCTACATATGAGTGAAACCACATGATAATTGTCTTTCTCCGACTGACTTATTTAACTTAGCATAATACCCTCCAGTTCCATCCACATCGATGTAAATGATGCAAATGGTAGGTATTCATCCTTTCTGATGGCTGAGGAATATTCCAGTGTATCTATTGACCACATCTTCTTTATCCATTTATCTGTTGAAGGACACCAAGGCTCCTTCCACAGTTTGGCCACTGTGGACATTGCTGCTACAAACATTG